TTGTATTTGTAAATTGCTTTGGGTAGAATTGTCATTTTCAGAATGTTGAGTCTGCCTACCCATGAGCATGCTTTGTTTTTCCATTTATGTAGATCCCTTTGGGTTTCATGCAGTAGTGTTTTGTAGCCAAAAACATTTTTATATTTAAAATATATGATGCCTGTACATAAGCCCTGGTGGTGCACTGGTTAACAGCTTGGCTGCTAACCAAAAGGTTGGCAGTTTGAATCCACCAGCCACTCCTTGAAAACTCTATGGGGCAGTTCTATGCTGTCCTGTAGGACGCTATGAGTCAGAATTCATTTCACGGCAACAGGTTTGGCACATAAATATTGTTATGCTCAAAAGCAACAAAATATTGAACAGAATTGATACATATTTTTCTCATGACCACTCATCTCATAGATGAAAATGAATATAATCTTTTGTGCTCAGCAAATGAATGCTAAAAGGCTGCACCATGCTGTGGTTTGAATGATGCTGGGCAATCTGTCTGGTAACTCTGCTGCAGTCTCCTTTACTGTCATTGTTACATTTTTTGGTGAGTAATTTTTGACCCATAGTAGCTAAAAGAAGTAACAGTGCTGGACTTGCTAAGTCCCAAGGAAATGTGTTCTGTACGTTTTTATGGACTACAGAAGAGTTTCTAAGAAAATATTAGCGAAAACAAAAAGATATCCACAATTAATTGTGAATTCAATAACGTCCTTTGATGTTATAAAGGAGAATGGAAATAATACCATTTCCTAGGAAGACTGAAAAATAATTTTAAGAAGGGGTTAGGTTGAAGACATGTCATGACTTCAGAGGATGCGACGAGCACAAGAAGGGGTACTACTAATATGTGCAATGGTTTAAGACCCCATCTCCTCAGGACTGGGCGACAGTATGTGCTCACCACTGGCTCTGCTGTTTTCAGAACTGCAATCCTCCACTTGAAATTGAGTAAGCATGTAACTGAAGAAATACTAAACATGAAAAACTATCCTTCACTTAAACCAAAACTCAGGAACCTGTTCTTATATGAATCCATCTCCAGGTGAAGTCTACAGCGGGTCCCTCTCAGCTCTCACTGTTTTTAGTCCTTGGATGTGTTCACCTTACATGAAAACAATGTGGACAACTGATTTCTTGGCTTATTCTTCTGTTGTTGTTGTTAGGTACTGTTGAGTTGTACTCCACATACAAAAGAATGAAACACTGCCTGGTCCTGTGCCAGCCTCACAATCGTTGCTATGTTTGAGCCCACAGATGCAGCCACTATGTCAATCCATATCGTTGAGGGTCTTCCTCTTTTTCACTGACCATCTACTTTACCAAGCATGATGTCCTTCTCCAAGGACTGGTCCCTCCTGATAATATGTCCAAAGTACATGAGATGAAGTCTTGCCATTGTTGTTTCTACAGAGCATTCTGGCTGTACTTCTTCCAAGACAGATGTGGCTCACTGTTCTGGCAGTCCATGGTATATTCAATATTCTTCGTTAACACCACAATTCAAAAGCATCAATCTTCTACTCATCAATTTCTTTCTAGGATATGCTAAATACAGCCCTAAGCTGGAAGTTTTAGTCATTCAATCCTCATTTATCAGTTACTGGGAAAAGTTCTGTTTTCTTTCTGAAATCTACATCTACCACTAAGAAAAACCAAAAACGAAATCCATTGCTGTTGAGTGGATTCTGACTTATGGCCACTCCATGTGTTTCAGAGTAGAACTGTGATCTATAGGGTTTTCAATGGCTGTAATCTTACAGAAGTAGGTTGCCAGGCCTTTCTTCCATGGTGCTGCTAAGTAGATTCAAACTGTCAACATTTTAGCTAGTAGCAAGAGCAAACTCTGCACCATTCAGGGACCTACCACTAATAAACAGGTTTCAAATACTGAGAGCAGAGTTTATCATTACTTAACTTTTTAAAGCACTTGCTACCAATACCTATGTTACGTTTAATGGTTGAATATCAAATGTTTTCTTGCCAACTGTTAAATGTGAAAGACTAGGACACTGGAACTGATGATGACTTTCATGGCAGAAAGGTAAATATACTGTGTACTTTTAAAAACAAACACCAATTATAAATGGAATTCCTTTTTCCAACTGTCATGAAGGAGAGATAACAGAGCCAAAAACTTCCTATTCATCTCTCTACTGTCATGGTAATTTACTTTAAAGTCCACAGAAAAATCTCAGAAAATAAAGAATAAATTTACCTTATTTTCTTCTAGAAATTTCAATTTGATAGAAACATCACTGCGCATTTTATCATATTTTTCCTTATGTGCTTGGAACAGTTGCTGTGACTGCTCAATCTTTGGCAGAGTGTTTGCATCACGTGGTCCAAGATTCAGTTCTTCTAAATCAGTTCGATATGCATCATATTCAATCCTGCAAAGACGAGAACAAGTGGCAAACACTACAAAAACAGAGTGAATTATGTTTAGGAGATGGATGGAAAGATGTAATAGTCGCTTATTACATAGTAATATAATAATTCTCACATATATACTTCATGCTTTTGAAATCATGTATTTTTTTAAATAAAAAAAATTAATATAAGCAAGAGGGGAAAATCTCCTTCTTAATCTCTTAACTATTGAAAGAACAGTATTAACTGACAAGTAAAAATTCCAAAATTTAAAAACCAGTTTTAAAAAACAGATCTCAAGACCTAATGCCAACAAGACCAAGAATCGAGATCAATTCCCAGTGCAGACTGGTTAATTTTGGTGAGGCGAAGTAAGATGTATATAGTATACTTTAGAATGGCATACTTAAGGTACCTGGTAAAAAGAAATTACACTGAGAGTCAACGGTCCTTAAAGGACTGCCCAATAGAAATATGATGTGAACCACATATGTAATTTAAAATTTTCTACTAGCCACATAAAAATAAAAAAAAATTTCATTTATTTAAGATTTCATTTTATCCAATATATCCAAAATATTATCATTGCAACATGTAATCAATGTAAAAAAAATTGTTAATAAGCTATTATTTTACATTCTTTTTTTGTATCAAATTTTTGAAACCCAATGTGCATTTTACACTTGCAGCGCATATCAATTCAGACTAGCCACATGTCAAAGGGCTCAAAAGAATTATGTGGCTACCGGCTACTTACTGGACAGCACAGCTCTAAATAGATTTCTGTAACATTAGTATTTAAATGTGACAATAGCATATACCACAGAGCACTTATTAAGCCATCTCCCGCTAATATTCTCCCACCACTAACTGAAATATTTCCTCCACCACCACTACTCTATGCTCCCACAGCACCTCATACACACCTCTATCACAGCATCAGTGTGAGTACAGTACTACTTTGCTTATTAAAAAGTGACTTATCCAGTAGCCCCAACTATTCCGTACTCAGCTAAGAAGAAGCAAAAAGATTCTAATTTTAATATCAGTATTACAAAGCTTTTAAGAGGGAGAAGTACCTAATTAGGTTCTGAAAAGGCATCTAAGAACAGAATTAAAACATTAGAATTATATTTTGAAGGATGGTAGAAATTTACTATGTGGATGGGGCAGGGAAGTTGGTAGAACATCCCAGACAGAACAGTATAGAGTAAGGCACAGATTTGTAAGAGATCCTGACATATTTGGGAAGTAATTCAGTACCGCTAGAACATGAGAATGGAAGGAATTAAGCCGAACAGGTAGGCAGGGCCTAGATTAAGCTTTACAGAACATGCTAAAGAGATCAGATTTAATCCAGTAGGACAGGTGATGGGAGGCAATTAAAGAACTCTGATTTAGAAAGTGACATGATTCTATCGGTTCAGGTTAGAAAGACGACTAATGGTAGTGGAAGGAATGGAGGATGGACTGGGGTAGAAGTTGAAATAAGAAGCAAGGAAATCAGTTAGAAGACCACGGGCAAGAAATGATCTATGAGTTAGGGCAATGGGAGTGGAGCTAAGAAGGAGACAGCTAAAAAGATTTAAGAGGCAAGAATGACTCAGTAATAATAAATTAGTTAAATCTATGGATTCTTAGCCAAATTGAATGCCCATCCTGTCATTCACTGGCTCTAACACGGCAAGTTAGTTATTTCTTCTCTCTTGCTTCAGTTTTTCACCTGTAAATGGGAATAATAATATAATCTCTGAGGTGTGGCCAAGATGGTTTAGTAGTTAGATGCTTCCTGTGGTCCCTCTTACAAAAAAGACCCAAAAAAACTAGTGAATTGATTATATATGACAATCAAGGAGCCCTGAACAACAAAGGCAAAGTTGAGGAATTGGACTGAGCAGCAGGGGGAGGGAGACACGGTTCAGAAGCAGCGAGGAATTACCAAACTTGACCTGGCTAGCAATGGCACGCTGCAGGTAAGATTGGCTGGTGCGCACAGTGAGGCAAGCAGTGGCGCTCGGGACGCGTTTTCCACAGTAGGAGAGACTGAGCGTCAGAGTCTGCTCAAGCTTTAAGAACCAGCGAGAAATGGCACTCAATCAGTGAAAGATAAGTACATGTGTCTAACTCACCGCGTGGATCAAAACAACACCCCCTTTGGGAAGAACCTCTCTCCCATTTACCTGCCCCCTCCCTGCTCTGCACCAGTTCCAGGTCCTGGTCCGGCTTCAGTGACTGCCGTGCCCCCTGCGCTGGGAGTAGGACCTGTTGCGCGCCCTGAGCCATTCTCCCGGCTTTGGAGAGGGAACAAATGAACAAACAGGAAAAAATAATCTGCCAGCTCCCCTAAGCCAAGAACTCAGGAAAGGCACAGCCACTTTGCCTAAGCACAGGAACAAGGGGTCCATGGACTCTGAATGCCTTTCATCCCTACATAGACCTGTGTGGGCCCATTTCAACAGCGTAGGCCTTCATTAGCACAGTACAACAGGGTATATACCTGAAGCCTATTTTCAACAATATCAGCTATAAGGGAGTCAGGCAGATCTGTGACATGTGACACTGCCCTGCTCATTAAGCAGGGTCCTAAGCTACCCATATCAGGCACCTGATGACTGGTGGCTCCACCCACATCACTAAGCCACCTGTGACATGGGTCTAGGAATAAGTGGTACCTCCTAGTCCTTACAGCCAACAGCATCAAGTGCCCATAGTCTGGCTGCAAAACCCACCACCAATGCGCTCTAGGAACAGGGATGCGCTTTCCTTCCAGACACTTGGGGGCAACCATCAGCCCCCTGCCTTGCTCAGTGCATGATGACCTACAACAGCCAGATACCGGTGCCTACTCCAATCACCCCTGCCCATCTAGGGCAGTAGGTGAGAGCCTGCACCACACACCTGGTGACTGACTAGCCGGACACCTGAGCTGAAACCATACAAGAAAAGTAAATGGACTCCTCGGCTCACATACCTAGTAACAGCTGTAACCACCTGGTGACAGGACGTGAGAGCTTCAAAGACACCAATAATCAAACTAGTTCACACAACCAACCTATTTGGACATATCAAAATGAAACAAGAAGCTAAGATACAGTAAGCTAACATAAAATAAATATAACTTATCAATGGCTTGGAGACAACAGTCAATATCAAGTCACATAAAGAGGCAGACAATGATGGCTTCGGCAAGTCCCCAAAACAAACAATCACGAAACCTTCCAGAGGAAGATAACTTCTTGGAATTACCAGAGGTAGAATTCAAAAGATTAACATACAGAGCTCTTCAAGAGATTAGGAAGGAGGTCAGGCAAAATGTAGAACAAGCCAAGGAACACACAGATAAAGCAATAGAGAACTTAAGAAGGTTATACAAGACCATAGCAACAAATTTAACAGGCTGCAAAAATTCATAGAGAGACAGCAAACAGAAATACAAAAGAATGACAATAAAATTTCAGAATTAGGCAACTCAACAGGAAGTCATAGGAGTAGAAATGAGGCAATGGAAGTCAGAATTTGTGAGACTGAAGATAAAGCACTTGACACAAACTTATTTGAGGAAAAATCAGACAAAAGAATTTAAAAAAATGAACACACCCTAAGAATTATGTGGGACTCTATCAAGAGGAATAATCTACGAGTGATGGATGCATCAGAACGCAGGGGATAACAGAAAATACAGAGAGAATTGTTGAAGATTTGTTGGCAGAAAACTTCCTTGATATCGTGAAAGATGAGAAGATATCTATTCAAGATGCTCATCGAACTTCACACAAGGTAGATCCCAAAAGAAAGTCACCAAGACATATTATAATCAAACTTGCCAAAACCAAATATAAAGAGAGAATTTTAAAAGTGGCTAGGGATAAATGAAAAATCACCTAGATATCAACCCAGATAGGGAAGCCACAAAAATTAATCAAAGCTAAAACACTGAAAATAGGCAAACAGATGTCAATATGTAAAAGATGACAACATTAAATCAAAAAAGAGGGACTAAATAATGTAGTCACAGAACTTTCATATGGAGAAGAAGTCAAGGTGATATAAAGAAATAAGAGATTGGTTTAAACTTAGAAAAATAGAGGTAAATATTATGGTAACTACAAAGGAAACTAACAATCCTACACATCAAAATAAAAAACAAGAGAAATATATAGACTCAGCAAATACAAAATCAACAACAATGAAAAAGTTGAAAAGAAAACACATAAAGAAAAATGATTCAGCACAGAAAATTAAGTGGAACAAAGAAACTGTCAATAACACACAAAAAAAGACATCAAAATGACAGCACTAAACTCATACCGATCAATAATTATGCTGAATATAAATGGACTAAATGCACCAATAAACAAAGAGTGACAAAATGTATTAAAAAAACACAATTAGTCTATATCCTGCCTACAAGAGACACACCTTAGACTTAAAGATACAAACAAACTAAAACTCAAAGAATGGAAAAAAATATATCAAGCAAACAACAATCAAAAAAGAACAGGAGTGGCAATATTAATCTCTGACAAAACAGACTTTAAAGCAAAATCCACCACAAAGGAGAAGGAAGGACACTACATAATGATTAAAGGGTCAATACAACAGGAGAACAAAACCATAATAAATATATACGCACCCAACGAAAGGGTTCCAAAATACATAAAACAAACTCTAACAGCATTAAAAAGAAAGAAAGACGGCGCCATAATAAAAGTAGGAGACTTCAACACACCACTTTCGGTGAAGGACAGCACGTCAAAAATGAAGCTCTATAGAGATACGGAAGATCTAAATGCCACAATCAACCAACTTATCTCATAGACATATACCAAACACTCCAACCAACAGCAGCCAAGTATACTTTCTTTTCCAATGCACATGGAACATTGTCCAGAATAGACCACATATTAGGCCATAAAGCAAGCCTTAACAGAATCCAAAGCATTAAAATATTACAAAGCATCTTTTCTGACCACAAAGCCATAAAAGTCGAAATCAGTAACAGAAAAAGCAGGGAAAAAAA